TAGCGAGGCGGCGGTTCCCCGTCGCTGACGACGACTAGCCAGTCGGTGTGTGCATCTGCACTTGTACTAGCAAACAGTGCACGCGCTGCGACGATCGTTCGTTCGTTCGTTCGTCCGTCCGTCCGTCTTTCCGTCGATTCTTCGTCTGGAGTCATCGTCGCTGTCAACCCTCTGCGTTTGGCTGGAAGCTGTTCCTCAGACTCGTCGTCTGTCGCCCCGTTTGTCTCGCCTCCTTAGTTCGGTTCGTCTCGTCCGTCGTATGCCCCCCTCGCCGCAGTCATGACCGTCACCTACACTCTGGAATGCGCCACCTCTGGTCTGGCCACGTTCCTGAAGCTTTTGTTCCGGTGGCGGGGCAGCATCTACAAGTTGATGTACAAGGAGCTACTGATCTACGTCGGACTGTACTACGTGCTCAGCTTCACGTACCGCTTCGCCCTCGACTCTACCCAACGCGGGTACGTCGTCGTCGTTTGTCGTGTTGCTTCGTACTCTAACGCCTTCCTGTTGTTGCTTGAAGAGAATTCGAGATGCTGTCGCTGTTCTGCGAGCGGTCGCTGCCCATGATTCCCCTGACGTTCATCCTCGGTTTCTACGTGACGATGGTCGTCGGCCGCTGGTGGGACGTGTTCATGAACATTCCTTGGCCGGACAGGTAATCAGCCTTTTGCACGGCAATATGTCAGACACGCTTCAAGCAGCTCACCGTTTTTGCCTCGCTCCTTTTCCGCATGCAACACGGCGCGAATTTTGGAGCTATGCGACACATGCGCCTATGTCCTGAGTTCCGAGCCTTAAGCTTTTCTTCTTTTTTTAAGATTACGGGGACAACCCTTAAAACTATGTTGCCTTATGAACTACCGATACAATATAATCTGAATTATCGGTTTGGTAAATCAGCGAAATGAATTAGATTGTAATGTATCATATACATAAAGGAAAACAACATGGTAAAATTTAAGCTTTAATTGTTTAAACGGAACTATGAATGGGAGCCGTTTTTCAATGAGACTTGAAGCAGCGTTGAAAAGTACACAAAGTTGCCAAATAAAAACGCAAAGTTTATTATACAGTGAATAACATGCAGAAAGAATACTCACAGTTTTACAAGTGTGTACCTTGATGATGCATGAGTGGTGAGGTAATGAACACGAAACTTAGCGGATTGACGGAATTATCACAGGCCATATGAAAATAGCCTAGTTATCACATCCAAGATGGCATTCATCAGTGATAGACATATTTAAATTTGTTAGTGAATAACAAATAAGGCAAGATCAAAGAATAATAAATATTGAGAACTGTGTCAACACTTGGTTTATTCGTATGCAAAAGTCTGTTAGCTCGAAACATCACAACGGGTGCTGACCACAGGACGAACTTTGGAATTCAATCCTATCTGTCTAGAAGAAGGCCCATGATGCATGAGCCGAAACATCGGTGTTGGTTAATCACCTCATTGACCAAATTTCTTGCGTCTTGTAGGAATAAACCATGTTATTATACAGTTTTCAGTATGATCACTAACGTACGAATGAAATAATCCATATTCATAATAATAAATAGAGTTAATCAAGCAGGTAAGTACAGCAGAGAACAAACGGAATTCTATACAGTCATTTCACTCTGTATATATTAGCACATTGCCGTCAGCGATTGAGACTGAGCGTAGAGGGTGCGATTGCAGATTTGCGGTAAATTTTAGTCTATGCAAATACCGTGGCATGCCGATGCTTTGAATGTCTCAAATTTGCATTAGGCAGCTTTCACTGTTACAGTCATTCCTTACCGTCAACAGGTCTGTCCAAATTGTGCTACCATTTTTTGTCTTGTCTTCCAACGAGTCTTCCGCCAATTGAGGGTGGTTTCTACGTGAGAACAATTTTGAAACGATGATTTACATTTAATCCCGTTTCATTTATCCAAACCCTCACCTGTTGTTTCGTTTCTGAGTGGTGCCTTCGCACTTATGGGATATTTCAGAGGTCTAACTGTTGAAGCTATGAAGAAGAACTTCATGATGTTTTAGTACCGCGTTTTCGACAGTTTACGAGAGCACTACAGACATGGTTGAAAATCTTCGCAACCATAAATGATTCTTCAGGTTTCTGATTCTAATTTATCAATAAATATTAATCTTGTATCCGTTATCATATTTCGGTCTTTCCCTACGCCATAGAACTTAATAAAATTCACAGATGCAAGTCAAATTTATCAGTCAACAGAGTTCCACTCATACATCAGATCTTAGCAGCATGAATTTGCTAAATCTGCGGTCATTTTGTATTTGAAGAGAGATCATACATCGTTCTGATAATGATGTGAATGAGTTTAAAGGAGATTCCGTATAGCTCGATATAAAGCACACCTCCAGGTGGAGGCAACCTGTATTTGATTGTGCATAAATGCAAGCACTCAGTTTAATCAATAGTCAGCTACCTATCACACCCAATGATTAATTGTTTTGCGTTGCATACAGTTGTGTATAATTAAGCCTCTTACACGCTGTGAACAGTGTACAGTATGACTGTCAATGCAGATACATGACGCTGATTACAGTCTTGATTAAAGTTTTAGATGTACAAAACATATGTACGACAAGAGTAAATTTGTCCGACTTCATTGTGAGTCTGAAAGGAGCAGCCATCAAAACATCAATCCTTGCCATTTATCTTATTGGATATCCACCGTTTTATGGTTACGACAATTTTTGGCGCTGCTGAATTGCAAGTACCCTCTGAAGAAGAAAATCAGTACTATGGAATTCGTAAAAAGTAAACTAAAAAGCTGATAACTGGTTTCAGGGTTTTTCTGAGAAGAGCTTTGAAGAAGAATGTAACGTCAGCTGTTTACCAACTGAATTATGTGACTAAATGACAAATGTCCTGCTTCAGAGTTTGGTGACGGTTTCTCAGTTGGTACAACGTCAAACTCAAAACCCACAGCTCAGGGGATTAGGCTCTTGCTCAGGTCATCTGCATTTCCTCCTTCTGAAACAGATAGATGAAAATCAGTTGATGGGAAGCAAATAAAAGACTTTTTGCCACATGGTTGCTGTAGACTTTTAAAATAAACTACACTTAGCTAATGACTTCTCTAATGGAATTGGAGATCAGCGTCCTTTGATAAAAAAACGGGAGGGGATACAAACGACCCAATGATGAATGTATAAGAAATTCTGAAGGTTGGATACTTTCTTCTTTTAGCGTGCATCCACAAATATGAACCAATTTTTTTGTTTCTATGCTAAATTTCCCAGTCCTGTTCTTGCTGATGATTTAAAAAAAAGAAATAATGACAAATGCATCTGTTTTCATGGTCTGGTATTCCTTACATTTTCTTATGTCATTTAGCATCATTCTAATCTTTAGCCTGTTTCGCCCATGTTTTCTATGTTCCTGATCATACGGTTGACGTCCAGAGTGATAAAAATTTTCATTGCGTCACTGTAGCTTTGGGTACTTTCTCATTCAATAAGCGTTGTTTAGCAACATGTTCATTTTATTCTCATCAGCCTTTGACCTCTGGCTGCTCAAGCCTGTATTCGTTATTTCTAGTTAAAAACATGATTTTGGTGCAAGGAGAGAAATAGCAACCGTACGTCCACGTCTCAGCAGTTGATGCCTAATGCTATTTAGGATATTTTGGCTCGACGTCTATTGCGAGGTCATTCGCCGCCAATCTTCTGTTGGTTTGCCTTTGCTTCCCCACGTCGGTCTTCCAGTCTTATGATACAAACTTCAGGTCATTTCAGATGCATGACATATTTACTATATACCTGGTCCTGTGCATTTTATTGCGTCTACTTTCAACGGTCACATCTTTTACCCAGCTAGGCTTCCTGATGTCATCATTGCGGAGGTGTTAACGGACTGAAATCCCCAGCATTCTGTTTCCTATCGTAGGATCAATTCTGTCACTACCAACTACTCTCTCCCCGCTCCTGGACCAACGAATATACTCACTAGTTATATACCACAGTTGACAAGGACTGGGTCTGAGTGGTACAGTGGTAAAAAATTGGCTTTCAAAGTCTAGAGGTGCCGGATTCAAATCCACGAGGTAGAAAATTTCCTCTTCACCGCCTATTAAATTGAGCAAGAATTCCCCTCACGTGACCTCAGTGTCAAGTGGCTGACCGACGAATAACACTTACCACGTATTGTTTCGATGCAGCAGTACCAGAATCGGCTAGAGGTACGTTAATGCTGTTTGTTGCAAGCGCCTCTTATGGCAGCAATTCACCTTCATCCAGCTGAAGGTTGAGTATCTACTGTGACAATCACCACAAGGTGTTGTTGTTTGCGCATGGTCTTCCCTGCAAGATCGCTTGATGGAGTCACGACATCTGACGTTTCTCTGGTCACGTGGTGGCTTTCGATTCAGATATGTGTATTTCTCTACCTTTTGCGGTGATTTTTTCATGATTATCTGGATTTACGGCAGAACATCAGACCAAAGAAAGTTAGTTTTATAGTAGTTAATGCGCAAACCGACTTTTTTGCTTTGTTCGTGCAGTTTCTTGCTGTAGCTGTTTGATATTTTGGGGCCGATCAGCACGGAGTCATCGGCGAATCCGTTTTTTCAGCTGATCACCATTAACTTTGGTGCCATCATTCGGTCGGGCTACCTAAAATCATCATGAGTCAAGCTGTGAATAGCTTCGGTGAAGTCGTAACAGTTAGTCTGCAGTGACTGCCAATTTCATTGCGGTTTTTGGACATGTTCCAACTCACTGTTTATCCTCAGGATGGTCACTGCACTTTGGCTAAGACATCGACTGCTACCAGAAGGATTACAATCTGTTTGTTTCCTTGTGTTTAGAAGTACAAAGTGACTGTTCGTGCTTTACTGTTTCAGCACTTTCATCATGGGCATACGAATGAGTATCAACGTGTTCGCCTTTTTTACTAGTGCAACGTATCTGCTGTCGATGCTGTGTTCAGCTAGAGGCTGCTATACAGCAGTGTTAATCTCGATGTTGTCAGATGCTATTTCGCAATTGATCAAGGCAGTGCATGGTAGCAACTTTGGGCATTGTTTGCTTGGCCTTTCCAGAGGCTGCTTTAGAACGAATATATCAACATATTTGTTATTTGTTATGAAGAGCTTTTAGACAAGCACACGAGAGTAGCCACCTTGCAATTCTTCGGTCGCCCTTTTTATGTAGCAGTAGTGCGCATGCCACAATGGCATTGTCCTTGTGACAACTGATGCCATCAAAAAATCACTGGCAACCTCAAGCTCCTCTGTTTTACTTTTCCTACTTCACTGCCTTACCTTCGTTCATTATTTTGGCTCTTGTCTACTATAGTTTTTATTCTGTCCCATGTAGCATTGCATGCTTCTTGACAACGGTAGTAGTCATTTTTTCGCTGCCAGTGTTTCTGCTCACGTGATGCGATGTTTGCGAATGCAGTGGTTTGTTTGCTTTTCCAAAGCCTGCTCGGTCTGGCTGTACAGACAGCCGAAGACAAAAGCGCTTTCTTGTTGTTGACTCATGTGAACCATCGAA